TAAAATGAGTGTCGATAAAGTGGACGGAACCGGTCGGCGGTCGGTTATAAAATTGATACATACCTCTCTAATAAATTCATGAAACGAATTTTCACTATCACTATTGCGTAATCTCTTTAGTGCTACAATTTTTTCTACATCATTTGAATAAGCACTATACACAATACCAAACCCTCCTTCACCAATCTTACTCCAGTTATTAAAAGAGCTATATTCGAATGATTTAATATATTTCTCTTTAACACCAACTTCAAGCCAATTTTTTTTTTTACAACTTTTACATGAAAAATAATCATAATCTATACGTTTATTTTCATGCCACATTTTACCAATTTCATTATTAGGGATATCTTGATGATGATCAAGAGTCTGTGATTGCTTTGCTCGATTATAAAGAATGAAAACATTTGGAGGTCGCGAAAGTTTTTTGGTAATGCCATCTTCGCCATTGGTTGAATTTTCTTTCTTTGAACCAGTCACTCCGCAGGGAAGAGCAAATGAAGAGAGATGTACATTAGAATCAGGTAGCGTTCTTGAAACATCAGAAGCCGAGGAAACAGTCTTAGAATTTTCTAACAGATTTGAAGCTTTTGAGTCATTTAGATGTTCAAATTTGTCAGGAATGAAATAGAAGCATCTCTTCAGTTGTTCATAAATATTTTGAACCATATTTAATCGCTGTATTTTTATTGTTATTGTATTCTTTACATGAAGCCAAGATGTTTGTGTTTATAGATATTTTGTATTTAGCTTGGCTAATTTATTATGATTTCCTTGAAATGCAAGAATTTTATAGCGTAAGGTGCTCCCTTAAAAGAAAAAAAAGAAGTGAAACAAAAAATTTTTTCAAAAGTTCATTATATAGTAATTTGCTATATTTTATACAGTATCGTTATATAATGTGTCCGTTATAAAAAGTTTTCTTTTTTAATGTCGATCATTTCCATATTTTAATACCTGATACCGATCATTTCCATATTTTAAATGTCTCACTTATCGTTATTTTTAAAAAAAAGTCTCAGCATTTACTATTTCTGTATCATCATATGATGGATTTTTTATGAAAATCCTAACTTACTGCGGATAATATCAACTTGAATTAATGTTCAATTTTTTTTTTAAAAGATAGAGCAAATTGTATACTTTAGTGCAATAGAGCCATTTTTTCAATTTATACTATTTTATAAAAGTAAATTCTTTAACAACGTAAATGAACTTTACCTAAATTTGACAAACATAAAGCTATTGAAATTTGAAAAACCGACGTTATTGTTGAAAAGAGAATAATAAAAGCTATCGATTAAAAAAAAATATGATATAAAAATATTTTATTCTTCGCTCAAAAAAGTTAAATTTTCCGAAATTATTTAAAAAACCAATAAAAAATCCTTAAATATGTACCCCGACTATGATTTGATTTACTAGTATTTTGAACACCCTAGTGTAACATGTAAACCTTTTTTTTGTACAACGAAAACAAATTTCGATTATGAAACCACCTTTAGGGCTCTAATTACAGTTAGTTCTTTTCTTTTTTAATATCGATTATTTTTCTCACTTTTACATTCAGATTGCATATTTTGATTTAATCAAATACACATTTTAAAGTCGATCATTTTCTCATTTTTTCAACCATTTTTTAATACGCATTTAATCATAAAAATAATCGATGAAAAAATGAGAAAAAGATGATCGAAATTAAAAAAAAAATCAAAAAATATGCTGAGACTTTTTATTAAATGCGTATTAAAAAATGATATTTTTGATTTAATCAAATACGTATTTATTTTTATGCAATCTGAATATAAAATGAGAAAAATGATCGATATTAAAAAAAAATCAAAAATATGCTGACTTTTAAATATGGTTGAAAAAATGAGAAAAATGATCGACTTTAAAATGTGTACGTATTTGATTAAATCAAAAATATGCAATTTGAATATAAAAGTGAGAAAAATGATCGAGATTAAAAAAAAAATCAAAAATATGCTGAGACTTTTAAATATGGTTGAAAAAATGAGAAAAATGGTCAACATTAAATGCGTATTAAAAAATGATAAAAATAAATGCGTATATATCATTTTTTCAACAATATTTAAAGTCACACACTAACTTTTATATTCAGATTGCATATTTTTGTTTAGGTTTGCGGAGTGATTTTCTTAGTATCATTAACGCTGTAAATTTGGTGGAGGACCCTAAATAGAGATGTTAAACGGTTCGTCCATTTTTATTTCGGAACTTGAAAGTTTAAGTTAATAGCTAATTCAAGTTAGAAATAGTATTTAAACTTTGACAAAATGTATACTAAAATACGTATTCAAAATTGATATATAAACAGTTGTTTATTAGGGTGATTCAAACCTAATGTTCATGGTTTCCGATTTCAAATTAAATTAGTGATGTAATTATTTTGAAATCAGTGATTCGTAAATTTTATTTATTATGACTTTTAAGTATTTAAATAATAGTAATTAATAGCTTTTGCTCTTTAGTGGTTTGTTTAAAAGATCTTTTGGGAGGCATGTTATTTTATGAAATATTAATAATTCGAAGATAAATATGTAATATTACTTAAGAATTTTAAAAAAATTTAAGCGATGATTTTGATGGCTTGTAATTCTTTATTAATTTATTAGAGAGGTATGTATCAATTTTATAACCGACCGCCGACCGGTTCCGTCCACTTTATCGACACTCATTTTA